TGATCTGAAGGCGCTGCACTGGAAAGCCTGGAGGAGTGGCTATTGTTTCCGGCAGCGTCGAAAGGATATGTGTTATTCGATGAGCTGCTAATTGAGCTGGATTCTCCGCAAAAGAGAGGTCGGAAATGTAGAGCCGTGGTATTATCTCGGATGCATAACCTCGAGAATGGTGGTGATATGAAGAACTTGCAGTTCTTTGGACTGGAGAGAGCATCGACGGTGCCCGGTTCATGGTGGAAGGAGATCGGTTAACGGGACTCGTGGGAGAATTGATTGGGATGGTATTCCACGCGCGATAGGACATGGTTTGTTGAAGAGAAAGCGACTGATGAAAGCCTGAAGTCTTTAAATATGTCAGTCAAAGCGCAACGCTGATGTGGATCTGCCTTCGTGATTCGGCCAGTGACTAACCATAATAGCGACTTTGACGCAGGACATCCGTATCTTCTGACAGCGGGAATAGAAAGAGAGTCAAAGCAAGGGGGGATTCAGGATGTCGGGCTGTCCATCCGAAGTCGGCTTTTATGTCTCCGGGTGAATGAAAGCACAGTCAATTGTCGGTCTGGGCAGTACTTACCCAGGAGGCGTCACTGCTCCGATGTGGGCAGAACCAGGCTGTTATAAAGCTGTGTTCGGCTGCACATTTGGGAACAGCCACGAGCCAAACAACCGACATCACATCAATCTCTGATGAATGATGGCCATTTGAAAATACAATCTCACATCGACCCGATAAAAAAGGCAATTTCTTGTTGTGTCACATCCATAATACAATCTACGACTAGTCGGATGTTTCAAGAATACGAGGCATGAGGAGGAACAAGAAAAAGAAAGAGTAACAATATGACGCGTCAAGCAAATGAATCAAGGGCTAACGCCTGTTGTGGGTAGACGTAGACATATGTAGACTCTCGGACAGGGAACCCTACCGGAGGTCGTGGATCAGGAGTGAGTGATTGAAAGACACAATGATGGCATCGAGAAAAGAGAGAGAGTATCGTAAACCAACCAAGGCTCGGTCCTTAAATAAGATCCCTGTGAAAGGTGAAATCATCAGTAAAGCTCAGCTTCCGAAAAGTCGATGACATACGCAACGTTGAGAGGCATCTCATCGATCTGGGTGTTGTAGAATTCTGTTACAACAATGAGGTAGCTGTCCATGCGAAAACAATGAGGAACTCACGTTCAATATCCCTCAACATTCTCACATCATCAGTCGTCACAAAGTTGATTGCGACACCTTTGCGACCGAAACGACCTCCACGACCGATACGGTGAATATAATTCTCCCTGTTTCCGGGGAGATCATAATTGATGACGAGGGAGACTTGCTGGACGTCGATGCCACGGGCGAGCAAATCGGTCGTGATGAGAACACGAGACGAACCGGAGCGGAATTCCTTCATGAGAACCTCACGCTGCTTCTGCTCCATATCTCCATGCTGTATGGCCGTCAGAAATCGTCATCGAAACAGGAAGCAGTGAGAAAACGCACCATAGCAGACACCGTGAATTCCCTAGAATGCATCTTCTCCGTCAACCAATCGACCTTCCGTCTGGTGTTGCAAAAGATGACGGCCTGGGTGATGGTGACTGTCTCGTACAAGTCACAAAGGGTGTCGAGCTTCCATTCCTCCTTCTCCACAGCGATGTAGAACTGCTTGATACCTTCGAGGGTGAGCTCGTCGCGCTTGACGAGAATCCGAACAGGCTCGCGCATGAACTTTTTGGTGACCTCGAGGACCTCGGCCGGCATCGTGGCAGACAGCAATACGACCTGGGTATCCTGGGGAAGAAGCTGGAAGACTAAAGATCATCAGAAACGATAAGAAAAAAGGAGTAATGTCGGAACATACCTTCATAGATCTGGTCCTTGAAACCCCTAGACAACATCTCGTCAGCCTCGTCGAGACAGAAAATCTTGATGTGGTCGGTTCTGAGAGCACGTCTGTTGATCATATCGAACACTCGGCCTGGGGTACCGACGACGACCTGGACGCCTTCCTGTAGCTTGGCCATGTCTTCACGAACGTTGGTCCCTCCGACGCAAGCATGACATTCGATATTCATGTAGTCGCCAAGCGCAATGACGACTTTTTGGATTTGCTGAGCAAGCTCGCGAGTCGGTGCCAGAATGAGAGCCTGGGTGCCCTTGATCGACATATCCAGCTAGAAGAAAAGGCCATCAGCGACGGAAAAAAGGGTTCGACGCTGGATTTACTTTTTGGAGGATAGAGATGGAGAACGTGGCGGTCTTGCCAGTTCCGGACTGGGCTTGCGCAATGACATCGTGTCCTTTTACAACCGGTACAATAGCGCGTTGCTGAATAGCAGAGGGGCGCTCAAAACTGGGAATCGTCAGGTCAGGGGAATCGAGGGAAAAAACAAGACGCACCCGTAAGCATATACACCACGGAGAAGCTCTGGCTTCAGGTCCATGTTATCGAAGCTGCGATATCGGTAAACATCGATGTAGACGCTGGGCCTGCTGATGGGCTTACTTGTCTACGATCTGGTCCCAGTTGGACTCGATCTCGTTGTCGGCGACATCCTGGAGTTCTTCACTGTATCCAGGAAAAAGAAGGGAAAAAAAGACCAAGGAAAAAAAAAAGGTCGAGGTCAGTGGGGTCGACGACGAGCAGGGAAGGACGCACGTTGACATGTATTATGATTTTTATATCTGTGATTTCCTCCAAGGAAAATCCACGAGAGGATAGGATAAAAATGTGAGGTTTGGGGTGGAGGTTATCGGGGTCGGGGGAGACCTTGCTGGCGGGCAATGCTGATCAAAATTTTTCCTTGGCTCGTGGTCACCGTGGAAACCGGGGTCTCGATTTGGGAACTCTTAGTCAGACGCGTGACTTGACCAGAAGGAGTCTGTAGAATAAATAATTTAAATATTTATATTAAAATAATCACAAGGGCTAGAGGACAAGGTCACAGCGTATCGAGATATGGATGCAATTTCACGTTCTCCATTCACGTCGGAATTTCCAAAGCCGCAGGCATCATCAGAGTCATGCCGCTCCGTCCGATGTGATGCGGTAACCGGTTCCTTGGCGCTTCCATTTAGCATCCATAAGGGCTGTTCACCGCTGAATTCACAATCTGGAGGAACGATCATTGATGAGCTCCGACGAAAGAGACTAGCATTGACCCACTTCAGTATTCAATGCTTGACGTCGAGCATGACCGGAAATCCGGCATTTGTTGGACGTTTGTGCTCGAGGGCATGGTAGACTGACGGAGAAGCTCAGATGCAACAGCGTGAATAAAATCTGATTGCGCTCACCTTGAAGACTCGGCTGAAGAGCTTGACAAGGAATATGAGAAACCCCGGCTTCCAAATTGAGCCATATCGATGTATGCCGATTCCGAAATGAAAATGACACTGCCCAACCCTGCCAATCGGATAAGGCGACCTGAATGAAAATCCGCAAATCCGATCTGACCTGTGACCTAGCCAAGGTCGGTGTTTCTGATTCCGCTCTTCCGACGACATGATGCATGATGACCTTAGCTCTGGAAGCTGACCTTCGGACGAAGGGCCATGCTTCGCCACATTAATTCCGAGATCATTGATCCTTTTGCTGTGAAGACTCTTACCCAAGGAGCACTGGAAAGGGGAGATTGGATGGAGAGGAGGCATATTCGAATGGGGGAAGGCAGCTTTGTGAGAGGATTTCGTGAAAGGGTGACTGACATACGTATGTCAGTCACAAACAGTCGGATCGTGACGATCCGACTGTTTCCAATGGGCTCGAGGCCTGAAGCTGAACGAAGCTGGTGGAAATATCCCTCGGAATACAAGAGTCTGGTTCCGCGATAGCCTCAGCCTCGCCTGAACGATGTCGAGGAACAGCCGCTATAGGAAGAATGAGAGATGTATCAGGATTTGTCATTCATGGCCATAGGGACAACCTCGACGCACTTTTCGTCTGCCGCCAGTATGCCGGTACCTGATGACAAGAAGTCGTCAAAATTCCACCAACTCTTGTTTCTCCACAATAGAAGGGCTAAAGCAGTGCATAATGCATTAAAATTGAACCGAGGGAGCATTACAGTTTACTGGCCAGTGGCGACATTTTTGCTGGTGGCAACTTGGGCGCTAAACGGAAGGAAGCTTCAGTATCGTTGAGTGCAGGAGAGGGTGACAAACGTCACGTCACGTTTCGGTGACGTTTTCTGCAAGTCATTTGCAAGACTTGGCGACCTGGACATTCAAGTTGCGTCCAATTTCTACAATAAATATTGGCTGGTGGTGTATCTCTCGCTGAAATTCTAAGCGTATAATAGGAGAAACACCCCCGATTCTCCCTGGCCCGATTCTTACGATTTCGATTAACGAAATACCAGGCTCCCAATCTTGATCAGTTCTCTGAGGTTTGATTCGACTGATAGGTATCAATCCAATTGACGCTCTACGGAGCATTTATCTACATGCTGGTCACGGGAACCATTCGCTGAGTAGGCTGTACACCGTGCCCGTCCATAGACGGTTATACGGGCCCCTTGTACGGTACCCGTATCCCGTCCCGTCGGGGATTTTTTGGTTTACCATCTTCTCGGTGAATTAGACTAGCCATGATTCTACTCACACCGCTATTTCGTAGTTTCGCCTTGGAGGTTGTCGTCGATACAGATACTATCGTTTGACTATGATCGTTCATATGTTTCCGGACAATGGACGTCAATCTCGTGGTTCTGTAAAGACTCACACACGAGATGCTCATTACTTAGTGTTAGAGATTCTACACGTATGACTGCACATCCGGCTCTCTACGAATCAACTGATCGTTTCATCCCATATGCCTTTTGGAGTAGCTCGGAAGACCGGTTGGCGGCGGCACGGTTTGAAGGAAGAGCAGAACTAGTAGTAATGCTGGATCATCAAAGTGCCCCACAATCTTGTCTGCTTTCTCTGACTCCCCGCGAACAGATGTCATAGTATATATACAAAGGTAACCACAGCAAAAAGCATGTACACATTCGGAAGGAAGCTCCCTGGCGGGGAGTCGAACCCCGCTTTCGCGCGAAGGTAAATGACAGGCGCGTGTACTAACCGATATACTACCAGGGATGTTAAAGAGGGGCGGTAACATGTACTATCGACCGGCGCGGATTGATTGGCCCTTTAAGTTTCGGCATGACTGATAATCATGCTGGTGTCATCATGGTCAGCTCTTCATCTGCTTGTCTTCCTGGTTCCACAATCTCGGCCAGCTGTTTCTGAATTCCATGCGCCTTTGAAACTCATTTACCGCTCTTTGCTATGGCCCTTTGGAGACCCACCCAAGCTGCTTGGCCATCGCTTCGGTATTGTTCTTTTTTCTTTTCGCCTCAGAGAATCTCAACGTCCTTCAGCTGCTCAATTAATCCGTTGTCGACTTGTGCATCCATCACTGCCTGGCGTTCAAGCGACCGGGGCACGACCCTCTTGCTTAATTGCGAGATTTTTCAAGGTGAGGCTTCGTTTGATTTTAGACGTCCTCTAGCTCACCCTGGCTGTCATGAATCAGTTTCACGCTAGAGGTGGTAACAGGTCTTGCTGCGACATGCCTCTGCATCGGACGACGGCCTTCCAGCCATTACACCAGCTCATTGCTTTCATGATGCGAGCACGGTACAGTGAGTACACCTCGTCTTTTGTCTGCGAATTCCACCATTCAACCGGCTTCAGGCGTGCCTGCTGCCAGCCATCAGCGAATACCTGCTCTCTTTCATCGTCTCCCTCAGTCAACGACACCATTTGTTCTATTAATCGGACGCCCTTGATGAAACCGACATGCATGATTCCCATGGGAAGCGAAGCCCATGGTGCGAGAACAGAGCAATGATGGTGTGGTAGGAGCGCAAGAGAGGAAGGTTGGTGGTCGGCGCCAACGAGGACATGGGCAGGAGAAAGCATGGGCAAACCAGGCGCAAGCTGGAGGCTTCTCGATCATTGCCCTCATCGGGATATCTGCAAAACCAGTGAGCTCATCCTTCGTATTCAAAGATTTGTTCTTAATTCCCTGTAAGCTCCAGCAATCGGTAGAGTGGATCATCTTCGTTGGTCTAGCATGAACAAATCCTAAAGGATGCTTGCTATCCATCAACCTCCTTTTCGTTTCCAAATGACCAAGGCCACCTTCTCAGCGCCCATATCTTCCTCGAAATCCTTGCTCGGATTATCGGACAAAGGCAGATTCTCATAGCGACTGGGAGGCTGGTTCACGGCGAAGGACTGTCCTCATTGATTTCTTTGACGGTTGAAACCGCAGTCGAAGGAAAGATGGACGAGGAGAAGAAGAAGCGATGCGAGGACAGTCGAAAAGGTTTAACAGAACACACTGGACGAAGAATCGCAATTACCTTCACCTCCGGCTGCTTTCGTGCTTTCCGCTCTGCAGCTCTGTTCTCGTCGCGCAGGATACATTAGCCCGCCCAGAACCCTGTTCCAGCGAAGGCAAAACAACGAAGATCTCTTCACCAATCTCGACGCTCTACTGGCCTTATCCACGTACTACTTCCCTAACCCACCTCTTCCTCTTCCCACCTCTTCCTCGACCCGTCACCTTTGAAGACATTACTTTGTTATGTGCAGCTTCTCATGCCATCTATACCTCGACCGAAGGAGACCGTCACTCTGGGCCGCTATGCACCGAATTCTATTCCCCAATCTCCAGCAATACTTTCATCCTTCAGCAGCTTCAAGTTCAGCTTCGCATTCAACGAGGCACTGGCAAGATCTCGGTTGTCTGGAAATGACCCATTATACGCTGAAGGGATATCCATGTCCACGACATCACCATTGGTACATTTATTGCTAATGGCGGGAAACTGTTGACATCGTCGAAGGAGGGATTCTTCGACTTATACAGTCTGGAGAATTAGATCCTGTCGCAGAGGATTTTGCGCCACGGCACAATGGGTTTCGCCGTCAGAACATGATGACGGTGATATCAGACAGAGACGATCAGGTAGCCGGTGTTGGAAGTGCCCATCTGGATACCTCGTATGCGCCTTTTCTTTCCAACTACATCGTTGCTCAGGGGTCTCGAGAAGCCTCCCGGCATCATCGCAGCTCTCTATCGACTTCGCCTGGCTTCTCGGGGTCCGTCGTTAGAACTTCTGCAGTCCTTGAACGGAATCCCGCCGCTGGTTTCAGTCTAGTTACCTTCAGATTACCTTTTCTCATGTCAGTGCACGTTCAAAGCCAGACATTGATGATGCTATAAAACATGCGGAGATCAGACTCCTGTCTCAGTGAGCTTTACACTCTTATTCGTTTATCTGTTATCTCTTCATTCCTTGCAGATCAGCCTTTTATTCTCGTCAACCGCCATGGTATCCTCTCATCGCCCTCTCATCGCAAATCACCAAGGATTGAATATTTATGACATTCCTCGCGATATTCCCGGTTCCCGTAGAGGTTGGGCCACGGTTCGCCTTCTCCTTCAAGGAACGAATATGGGATTGACGCACACATTGCATCGGGCCAACCTTGTACAACCCCGAGAGCGACACCTTAACGCGGACATCGTGACAGGATCAAAATTGTGTATCTCCATTACCTGGACTAGCTAAAATAAGGTTTTGCCAGTCGGAATTGGTTGAACGTCTCTTCGTCGGACGTCACTTTGGACTTTCAGATCTCCTCGACATAGCGCTTCCCGAAAGCGTTGGTTAGTTAGCTTTCGATGAAGGAACTGGTCACGTTCTGGTCGCGCCGCTGGATACAGAAGATCGATGAGAACCGTCCTGGGTTGGTTATCTGTTTGACCTTCATTGTTCATCTCTGCCACGTGGCCTTTGTTCTCTCAATAAGTATATCCTGTTACACCTCCATTGAATTTGTTGGGCTACTTTCACCGTCCAAAATAAAATAGAAATGTGCCCGCAATTTTTTGTCCAAACGAAATTTGCTAAATGAGTTCGTCGCTGAAAACCAGAAATGTCACGCGTAACGCCAGTCACGCCCTGGTGCAGCGGCCACCAAGACGATTATTTTGGCGACAACAACCTCGTCTTGCTCGACCTCGACCATGTCAGATTCTTTTAAATATGGAATACCGCTATAATTGGAAGTGGTGGCCTACTCATCCCCCTGGACCCCCAGGAACACGATGCTGCCTGGTAAAGTTTCTGGCTATCCAACTTTCCTTTTCTCGCTCAACTGGCTGCAATAGACCTTTCCAGAAGCCTTGAGATTTCTACAGGTCGCAGATTCGCGCTGTCTAACCCAACCTGGATGATTCAAACTGTTGTTTTTGACGACTTTGCCATCGGGTCCACCGAAATCATGGAGCCCGAATCCAGCGGAACTGGCGCCAACCCAGGTCATAATATTCGATATTCTGGTGCCAAACCGCCGGTGCAATGTCGACCCTCGTGGTTAGAATCATATTTTTCCCGCATTTGCTTCAGGAGCTGACCCAAATTTCTACAGGCCGAATCCCAGGGAATTTGTCACAGCCTTGGATGTAGTCGATTCGAATATCGTGAACACAATCCATTTCAGCATGAAGTACGCTGGGCATACTTGAAATTAGCTCGTTTCGACGATTTCCGGAATGTCCAAAAACGCGCATTTCCTAGCACGTCTTCCATTTCCGCCACTGGCTCAGAGAGGTCAACATATCACTGCCTGTCCAATATACATTGGTTGGTATTGTCTCTATGAATTCTGAACGAGGCTGAAGCTTCATTTCGTTCAGCGCTCAACCTGTCACCACCAGACCTGCACAAAAGTTGTCACCGAAACAGGTCAAAGCTCTGCCGGCTCGCCATTTGCAGCAACAAACTGAAGAACCCTTGGAAGGCAGCCTGGCCTCTCAAATCGTCTTTTCTCCAGGGGATAGCTGTTGAAGGAAGCATCTTTGCCCATGTTAGCCGAAAAGAGGAGAAAAGGCGTTGGAGAAAAGGACAAGAGGCAGAAGCAAGCAGAGCAGAGAAGATCAGGGAATGGAGAGAAAAAGACAGAAGAAGAGAAGAGCACAGAGATCGTCGATGCGAATGCTACTACGCCTTGGAACCCAGTCCTCCCATTCCTTTCTTCTGATACCATCCTCCTCACGGTTCTCGCCGATGTCCAACGGCTATCACTGTGAAGAACTTCTGGGAAGAGAGTCGACTAAGGTTGAACGTTGAACGCCGAACTCTTGGCACTGGACATCCGTCAATGAAGGGCTTTCCCCAGTCCTCAATTCATTCTCGATTCTTCCTACCATCGCGTGTCGACCTCCAGATCTAATGGATGGTATTACCAGTCCATCTCTCATCGACGACATTAATTCCCGATGCAGGACTGATCAACGCTTCATGGAGAAAATGGTCGTCTTTGAGTCTCGCGCCTGGATTGCGAGGTCGAGGCTCAATAAACCGAGACACGTCATCAATGGTCATTTACAACTTTCCCGCAGTCCATTCGCCTTTCTTCTTGTCCATCGTGTCCTTGCCCCAACTCGATTTTGACCTTCTTATGGAGATTTTCAAATCTCTGGAGGTGTGCGACGTAGTCGCCATTCGGAGCAGCTTCACATCTTATCCACTATTACACGGCGCGACAGCGCTACTTTTGGATCTTCATGCATCGGAAACTGTTCCCAGGCCTGACCGTCGAGAGGTCGTCACTCGAATAGATCAGGCGCTGCGTCTTAACCGGCTGCAAGGTTTCTAACTCCTGGAGGAAACTTACAATGTACCTGCAATCATTCAACGAGTTCCTACGTCTATCGCGTTGAATTTCTCCCCGACGGGAACACATTGTTTTTCCGCTCTGGTTTTTCCTTTCCTTTACTGGTGCCCCAGGTCTTATCAACCCGCCGAAAAGGAAACTTTTGCGTTCGCAGTCGTCTCTACGAAAAAAACTCCTGATCTTCCCGAGATCACCCTGGTTCTTGAAGCGAGACGAGGTCAATTTGCAGCAACTGTAGTCAAGTAGGTGATTCCTCTCCTATCAACAGTTGCCATTGAGACTAATTTCTGTCAATAGGACTCAATCTGGTATTGAGCTTTCCGTCTACAGCATCCGGGACCACCAGAGAAGCCAGTCCATACATCTCGTCCGGTCCGCCATGGTCCCTGCCATGATCACAG